GTGAGAGGTTAAATAGTTTTCTTACAAACAGGTAGGTATTACATGGTTCAATGTTATATGATTATTTCATCATACTTTTCTAATTAATTAGAGCACATTAATTCGTCACAATCTTCTTAAAGAACAATCCTCTTAAGAGTCATGAGACGATGTCATAAAAGTATAAAGAAAACCAAACGTTGATCAACTAACGTACGTTTTGATACTTGTTTGTGTGCCTAAATAAGCGTGTATATTTTTAAAATAGTCACTCTCATAAGATAATAACGAAACAAAGAGTATCTCTTTTAGAGATTTTCCAAAAAAAGGAGCATCAACTTTCTCTTATCTAAGAATGAAAAAACTGGAAGCGTCTGGGGAACAAAAATATTAAAGTGGTCTTGATGGAGGAGCCCGAGGCAGCTCAGCAAACGCAGGAGAAAAATGATTGGCCTTAGGCTCGGGAAAAATGTCAGTCGTTTCTCCGACCAGCGGGGAGCCCTAGCCTACAATGGAACGTCCTACCTGCTAAATCATGTGTGTAGTTACATTCATTAGAGCATTTCTAAGTGTTAAGGGTGCGCTCTACCTGTCCGCTGCACGCTAATGCAAGGGTTTAGGATCTCCGTCATTTTCGGCTTAGTTTAGAACCGATTGAAATTATATTTATGTTAATTTATTCATTTTTTATTTTTGTAGGCGTGTATCGTTTGAATTTTTTTGGAATAGTCGAATTTTAAGTGGGAAGTTTTTTCTAAAGCATTTTACGCATACAAATGCATTTTTAGAAGAAAATTAAAACGATAGAGTCATAAATTTGAATGTAAATAGTAAGAAACCTCCTTCAGATGAAAACAGTTTCAAAAGTTAACTGAGTAATTTCAGAGGACGTAAATGTCTGCAAGCGCTTCTCGCGGCACTGGTCATAAAGCCCGAGCTGAGGAGGTGCGCACCCTATAGTATCAAACAATTAGAAAATGATTTTCCCGCCGTCTAATAAACCAACAAATCAACACATAATATACTATCCCATCTCCATGATAATGATGCGTTAATACTGTAAGTACATGCAATTCTATAACGCTATATAAATACAAAATAGTTTATTTTTTCCGTTATCTCCGACCTTATTGCGTACCAAACCTGAGCTTTAATGGGGAGAAAGTTTTATAACTAAGGTAATTTTGGAAAAAGGTTTCTAATTTTAGTGTCATCTCTAGATGCAAAAACCACCCCCACAATGGGCATGCTTGGCCTTAAATTAAAACCTAAGTAGACTTTTCGAACATCAAGTTAACAAATAATTAAAATAGTTCTCAAAAATCTCTTTAAATTTATTTACAGATATTAACTCGAAAGCTGTTTTAAAATACAAAAATAAAACAATTACGTATAGTAATGTAATTAATTGCAAATTAAATAAAACAATTAAACCCTGCAAATAACTTGAAACCATGCACGAATAAACTTAATAATTGAGAAATCGTTAAATTTAAACTTCTTAAACACCTGGGTGTTAGACGTTAAATTATCGAAGTAAAAATACACTTATCTGTGGAATTTTCTCAATTACAGAAGATATAATTCAATTACTTCTGAGAGTTTGATGAAACGGTCGATCAAGAGATTGACTCTGAGAAGAACTTGTTTGAAACTTTCCACGAGCTTTCCTTTACTTGAACCGCGATTGATTACTTCATTCTACGGCTCAAGCACGCCTTAGGCTCGCAGGCTAACTTGTTTAATTAAATAGTCCTAAAACTGTTTCAGACTCAGGTAGCCTACTTGTGAACTTGTAACAAAACTTTGATCACTGCTACTCGTGTAAAAGTATACACCACAGTGGAATAAACCTGCTAACAGTGCGAATTTTAATTGTTTTACAGTGCATTCATTCAAAATGGAATGAAGGAAAAGGCGTATCTTACTAAATACTTACAACATTTTATTTGTCTGAAGTAATATATTTTGGGGGTGGATTTAGACATGATGTGAACGGCCAGAACAACTAGTAGTAATAAACTTGCTTTAACTGGTACGAAAATACATGCATAAAATTCAAAATTATTAAGCATAATTATTAAAGTATGAAAAATATTTACATGGGTCAGATCTTGTTTAAAATCAATTGAAGTTTGTCTTTTATGTCATGTAAACAAATTGTGTATGGCATAATACTTAAAAAATTTACAGACGCATTATAAAGTGTTATGTTTAGTTTAAGAGAGTTTAGGCATGTTCGAAAAATATGGAAATCTGGACTGCGCTTCCAACAACCCTATAGTGCAAAAAGGCAAGGAATAAAATGTAAACACTTATGGCATAACACCGCTGCATTAATGAAACCATTAACAAGGTAATGATAATTTCTTTCGTTTAAATTACATTATCAAGGAGACCAAATGAAAAGGGTTTGAAAAAACTTGGGCTAAGGGGTTTTTATGGTGACACAACCTAATCATTGGAGGCACTGTTTTTTGTTTTTTTTTACTGGGGCTCAAAATGAATTATAATACCCAGTTGTTGTCAGCAATGGTCAAGTCGCAAGTTTCAAAGTTTTGAATAAATATAAACACTAGTGATCGCAGCACCCCAAGCAGAGATGATATGAACTAGAAGCGCCCCCAGTGCTGCGACCTGTGCGCCGAGCCTGGAACCACGGGTTGTAGAATTTGCCGCAGGATCGCGCCACAGATTTAACTCACACATTGGATCGATGCATGGTTTGTTTACCTTTCGAGCTGTAGGTGTGAGTGAGATGATATTTCATCGTACTTTTATTATGAGATTACTGGATCAAAGTATTCAATTCAACAAGAATTTCAATTCAAGTTTAAACCTTAGTTTGCACGTTTCTAGATAATGTAATTCGTTACACTTTAGAGAATATTGTAAACAAACAGTTAAACATTTGACGTTACACTCTCGAGAAACGCAAACTGAAGTATTATTAAACGGCTATATTTTATATCATTACTGTAATACCAACTAAATACTAGACTATAAAAACTCTAGTTATTGGCATCATAATAATAAACAAATATTAAACTCTATTGCTCGTCTTATTTTCGCCACATGTCTTAAAAATATATATAACTGTAAAGTCGTCATTCTGAAGTATACATTTCAGAATTAACTCTGAGCAATCCAGGGACGATAGAGATTCATTGGATTATATCCAATTTTGACAATATTTACTCTATTTCCGATCGTGCACACTACTCGAATACTGCTCGATTCAGACTCTGATAATACAACTAACAAGTGCCGATACAAAATAATGATTGGAGGCAGTTAGTTCAAATTTCACCCACATTAACGCCAGTAGCCTTGTAGGAAGGGTCGGACACATGGTCAAGTTATTTGCCGGTCCGCCGCGTCAAGCTATTACCATGGCAACACTGGCCGCTGGACAAAGGTGCGAGTGTAACTTATTACTTGAACAATGCCGCGCTTCGTGAAACAATGGATATATCGCCGTCAAGGTTTAAAGCTGCAGATTAAAAACTTTGAAAACTGGCCGGTGTGAAATCACTTTTTAATTAATAATAGAAAAAATATGGCAATACCGTCTTGTTAATGTTTACAGCATTTATGTGTGTATGTGTGTACCAAGGGTGTTTGGTGGAGTATTAAATCACTCTATCGTATAAAAGGGTTGGAAAAAAACGAAAATTAAAATCCAGATGCTATGGTGATCGCATAACTAAAATAACTTGACAAAGAGTAATATGAACTCCAACATAAAGGATATATAGATGCGAATTTTCAACTTGAAGTGTTTAATGTACTAAGGTGTAGAATGAGCTAACTGTAGTTGCAATAGACCCCTCTGGTGGTAGTAATAAATTATTGTATGGTAACATCAAATCAATAAAAAAAACTGTTGAAATATATTGGCTTATATTGGTTGGTAAAAACAGAGTCATTCCTATATATACGGTAATGATTAATATGAACAGCACAAAAGCATTATACAGTAATCGTGAGGACTTCACACAGAATTAGCAACAGTTTTTTCAACGTGTGGAGTGGAAGAGGTATGGGACACTGTGTCAATACTGGTCGCGTAATATAGTTTGCTTTGGAACCCTCGGATACTGATCAAAAAGCAAGATATATATTTACTGTCTTTGTAACCAAAATTATTTCAAGCTACTTACTTCAAAGTCAAATAAATCCATTAATTACTGTAAAGTTAAAACAATGAAAGGTCAACAAACGGCAAAAACACATAATGATAAGCGGTTTTGAATAAACAGTAACAGCGTACAAATTTAATGTAAACTTCACTACTCCCATACTCGATGCAGTGAATGTGTACAGCAGTAAAGCAATATGTAGCCTAGTAAATACCTCAACAATTATTAGACATTCCAATGACCATCAGGGCCTGTGAGATCACCGTCATATCGTCTCGTATTGGACCATGTACGTCCATTGTCCAGTTAGCGTTGATGATGATTGGAGTGTCCCATCGAAAACGATGGCCTTTTATTGTACGTTGTCTACATCTACCGCATTCCGTGTTGGTGTTGTGTGGATGAACGCGAGAAATGAAGTGTTGTAGAGAGATAACATGTTTAACCTTTTTGTTAACACCTTAACCTACGATTATATCGTTGAAAATGCCTAATTAAACGCGTAATGTCTCTAAGTGTTTAACATCTCAAAGTGATATTATTATATCGTTCAAAATTATATTACCTCTATTCAATTTGTCTTTGTTACTGTAATAGGTGATTCAACTTTTAGGATATTATTGTTAATAATTCGTTCTTTCAACTTCGCTTGTTTTTCAAGTTTGCCTAGTTATGGACAGAGCACTCGGTCGGTGGATCAACTCGACTACGTTCAAAGCTACTTCTGCCCTACCTTCTGTTTCTCCAAGACCTGGTGGATGTCGTCCAGGTCGCCCACCACGACCGCCTGTTGCTTCAACATCTCCTCCTCTAGCGTCAGCCAGTCCCGGATCTCTAACAACTAGCTACTTCTGCACAACCTGAATGTGATGGACCTACCTTCTGTTTCTCCAGGACCTGGTGGATGTCGTCCAGGTCGCCCACCACTACCGCCTGTTGCTTCAACATCTCCTCCTCTAGCGTCAGCCAGTCCCGGATCTGTAACAACAATCGTACATGTAGATGGACCAAACAACACAATAGTCAATTACTACTTCACACCGAAATATACGTGGCCTTTCACATGTTCTAGTATTATTACTCATAGACGTTTCATAAACGGACACAGTGTTGAAAACAAAACTAATGTTAATGTATTGCACCACAACTACACTTGACTAACACTTGAGATACCTATCTTGTTCTTTGATTATTAGAATGGGAGTCTCTACTACAGCCTATGGTAGACTTCAATAAATTCACGGCATTACTACGAAGTTAAACAACCATTAGTGATAGGAAGTATTTAAAGCTGGGTTTCTAACCACTATAGACCAGTCACATTCTTGGTTTATTGGTCAACAATTAGGTTAATATAAACTGAAGATATGTATAGGTTGACTGAACTTGACTGATAACTTTTTGGTAGTATAAATAATAAATGGTGTTAGTCAATACTTTAATTAGCTGAGGTTTAATTCTAACTTCAAAGAGGCTATAGCATTTGTTTGCATAACGTCTGATTATGCTCGGGTTTCCATAGAAAAAGAGATAGACATATCAGACCGATGCATTAAAAACGATATTTGGTTTCAGACTTCAAGATTACAAGATTTAACTCAATTTGTTCCACTGTGATATTGATACTTAAAAACGTCACAAAATGTTATTAATTAAAATAAAAATAAAAAAAGTTTCAGATAACAGATTTAGCATTACTGTTTCACGTATGTCCAATTATGATCCGGTCCTGAACAAATCTCGATTGCACAGAAATTACAAACTGTTCGACGAAAATTGCAACTATTCCACTAACTAGTAAATACATTGTAATAGCTGTGGGGCCGCTAGATTTATGTGATGCTTAACAGTAATCACCCTCCACACTGGATTGCTTGAACGCCTAGAATGTGTTAACATATGTCCAGTCGTAACGCCTGCCTTAGAACTGGCCGGAAATAATCCACAGCCACTCAGTGGTACAATATCCGGTCTCTACCCTTCTACCCTTCCAGCCTCTCTCAGTCCAACCCCACTCATAAACTCTCATAACCTGCTTCAACTCAACCGGCGTCCTTCATGTGCAATGCGAGTGAAAGATAAAGTCAGAATGAGTAAACCATTGCAGTGCTAGTAATTTGTGACAGGTTCAAAGAAATACAAAAATACGTTAGTCATTCGAAAACCGTTGGAGACAATAAATGCAATTTTACCTTGGGCAAAATACAATCAATATCTTGATTTGACAAGCTATTTTAATCGTATTACGTTGAACATGATGTACTAAAATTACGTTCAAAAAGTGTTATTTAGATGGGGAATGGATACTTTTTTGCTTTTTTATTACTTATTTTACGTGTTGCTTAAACCATAGAATTAATAAAACCAAGGTGTGAAATGTTCAGCTTTCATCGAGGAATAATCTCATACATTCTTTCGAACGATAAGGTAACCTAAAGGCCCAAAAATTACTAAAACCAATTTTAACTCCTTAGAAAATGTCCCATCTATACAAATCTTCGTACCTTGTATTATTTTGTATATGTTTCTATGACGTTGGAATTTGATAAGATAACCATCCAAACCATGGTACTATCACTAACGTCGACTTTTTGTTAGATGAAATCATTAATTGATAGCTAATGACAAAAAATAACACATAAAGGTATGGATCCTACTAAGGATGAAATCAGTATATTCCAGACAATATGCATAAACAAGTTAAAAAAATTTCTATATTTTCAAAACGCTTAAATAAACATTTTTTGCAATCATTTTCACTAACCCATACACTAATGAGTAACAGATTTGTTTACGAACACACAATCTATTTTAAGCTGATCACCTTGCAACTATAGAGTCAAAGACAGCATTTTGCATTTGTAATTTTAAATACAATTAATCCAAAGAACACAATTTTTGCACCCTAATATGTATTTGTCCCAATTTTCAAGATACAAATTGGCATATTGACGTCATTGCAAAACAAAACACAGAGCTAATCTCTTAGTTGGATTGGCCGGATGCCCGGCGGGTCCAGCCGGTGAGGGTTGAAGCTATAAGGGATGATTGGTGACATCAAGTGCCGATAAAGCGCCTTGGTGATTTATTGACACTGATGGCGTCGCTCGCGGAACTCATTACGGCCTTTGCAAAGCTAATCTCGTAGTTGGATTGGCCGGGTGCCCGGCGGGTCCAGCCGGTGAGGGTTGAAGCTATAAGGGATGATTGGTGACATCAAGTGCCGATAAAGCGCCTTGATGATTTATTGACACTGATGGCGTCGCTCGCGGAACTCATTACGGCCTTTGCAAAGCTAATCTCGTAGTTGGATTGGCCGGGTGCCCGGCGGGTCCAGCCGGTGAGGGTTGAAGCTATAAGGGATGATTGGTGACATCAAGTGCCGATAAAGCGCCTTGGTGATTTATTGACACTGATGGCGTCGCTCGCGGAACTCATTACGGCCTTTGCAAAGCTAATCTCGTAGTTGGATTGGCCGGGTGCCCGGCGGGTCCAGCCGGTGAGGGTTGAAGCTATAAGGGATGATTGGTGACATCAAGTGCTGATAAAGCGCCTTGATGATTTATTGACACTGATGGCGTCGCTCGCGGAACTCATTACGGCCTTTGCAAAGCTAATCTCGTAGTTGGATTGGCCGGGTGCCCGGCGGGTCCAGCCGGTGAGGGTTGAAGCTATAAGGGATGATTGGTGACATCAAGTGCCGATAAAGCGCCTTGGTGATTTATTGACACTGATGGCGTCGCTCGCGGAACTCATTACGGCCTTTGCAAAGCTAATCTCGTAGTTGGATTGGCCAAGTGCCCGGCGGGTCCAGCCGGTGAGGGTTGAAGCTATAAGGGATGATTGGTGACATCAAGTGCCGATAAAGCGCCTTGGTGATTTATTGACACTGATGGCGTCGCTCGCGGAACTCATTACGGCCTTTGCAAAGCTAATCTCGTAGTTGGATTGGCCGGGTGCCCGGCGGGTCCAGCCGGTGAGGGTTGAAGCTATAAGGGATGATTGGTGACATCAAGTGCCGATAAAGCGCCTTGGTGATTTATTGACACTGATGGCGTCGCTCGCGGAACTCATTACGGCCTTTGCAAAGATGGCGAGTGAGAAATTGTCCATTTCATCGAAAAATAATTAACGACATAGTTAGATGACTCTATGATAATTTTAATGTCAAATTTAAATCGACACTGACGAATCAATTCGAATGTTGTTAGCACTTGCTACTCAACCCATCTGCCCTTGATTATGAATGCGTTTAACATTAAATGGTCCAGGCAAGAATCAGCTGATTTTGAATAACAACCCCTTTATCTCATCATATTTTAACTCAACTCCTAGTTTGTCAACGTAGTATAAATATCTAATCAAATTTATTTTCCTAGAATGTAAAGTATTTCTCCGATATCTAATAACGTAATGTGAAATATACATCTGCGATGGACATTAGCAGGTCGATTTCAAATTAAAACAATACTACGAAAATTGCAAATTCACTCAAAACTAATATATTGACTGAAGTTTTCTATAAAATCCAACCTATCTCTTGACCACATAAGGACGTAAAAATCCTATAATTCTTTTGATAATGGCATCATGGTGTATACAAATACATTTTACGCCACACAGTCTGTAGTGAGAGGCCGATACTTGGAGATACAGTTTAATCTAACCCTTTGTCGACGATGGGAGGCGCAGAGCGTGCTGACAATGCAGAGAAGGCTTATTTCCGCACAAGAACCACCAAACGGCCCATTCCTCACAGAGGTCTGACACTCCGCCTCCCACAAACACACTCAGTCTGTAGTGAGAGGCCGATACTTGGAGATACAGTTTAATCTAACCCTTTGTCGACGATGGGAGGCGCAGAGCGTGCTGACAATGCAGAGGAGGCTTATTTCCGCACAAGAACCACCAAACGGCCCATTCCTCACAGAGGTCTGACACTCCGCCTCCCACAAACACACTCAGTCTGTAGTGAGAGGCCGATACTTGGAGATACAGTTTAATCTAACCCTTTGTCGACGATGGGAGGCGCAGAGCGTGCTGACAATGCAGAGGAGGCTTATTTCCGCACAAGAACCACCAAACGGCCCATTCCTCACAGAGGTCTGACACTCCGCCTCCCACAAACACACTCAGTCTGTAGTGAGAGGCCGATACTTGGAGATACAGTTTAATCTAACCCTTTGTCGACGATGGGAGGCGCAGAGCGTGCTGACAATGCAGAGGAGGCTTATTTCCGCACAAGAACCACCAAACGGCCCATTCCTCACAGAGGTCTGACACTCCGCCTCCCACAAACACACTCATCTGTGATCCTCTTACAGGGAGGGAGGGGGGAATACGTAACATGAAATAGTAGGGTAAAAATACAAAAAATCGTAAAAAAAGGTTAGCACCAAAAACCACTACAAGGTTTGACGTTACTAAAGAAGTATACATAAGTAATTTTCGAAAATGTTTCCTTTTTCATATAATTGAGAACATCTGGGGGCCGAGCTTTGCTCGTGGGAAATCATTAGTAAAATTTCAGAGAATTTTTATGTCAATGTAATATTTATCCGATCTCAGGAATGCAATACAATTTAAATTGTCTGGGTAGCCGAGTGGTTATAGTACTGTATTCGCCCTAAAACTGAATGGGACTGTTTAAATGTCAAGCGAAATCGTTTCTAGTTTGGGATATAAATTAATTATACTATTTAAAAAAACCAATATTAATTAGATAGTAAAGATGCAGGGTTGGAAATGGTTCTTACAGGACACTTAAAAAAATACCACTGGCGTAGTTAAACCCCAAATACGCTTCTATATATCCTCGTGAAACTTTGCATTTTATTAAACTACCTACGAGAAGTTTGAAATTTGTCAAAAACGGGAAGTATTGTATCGATACCAGAGATTGGGTCAATTATAAGAAAAAGTAACACAATTATAAATAAAATTAACAAAATAATGTTTACGGTTAATAAGTTGATTAAAATGATGAAATCTACAGATTTCCTCCTTAATTTCGAGCGACAGGCCAGCTAAGGTGTATGTAATAAAATATTTATTTATACTAATAACACTTGTCACACAAGCTACATTGTACCATTAGCATAACTCAGTGTATGAACTTGTCCGATAAAGGTAACGGCAGATTGGCGTGTGAGCTTTTCTAAACTCACTCAACACGGAGACCGAAAGTCGACTTATTTTCGTTCTCGCAGAAATATCTAACAGTAAGTAATGATGACGTTACTTATCAACTATTTTACCTCCCACGATATTATACGCGTATTTGTGAGCTAAAAAATTTAAAATATAGTCAAATGAAACGCAATTGATTAAAAAATCAAGCTTAGAAGATAACGGAAATAGCCTACTTATTTGATTCTTGAAGCAGACACTAGTTGCAGCGATATGAGGATGGTTTGTCTTGTTCATAGCATCTATATTCAAACGTAAAACAAATTAAATTGGAATTAACAAATCAAATAGCAGGTTTTAGGAGGTGAGTTGAACGATACAATTTTAGGTTTTATTTCGACAACAATAGCATTGATAAGCGGAAGGCGGTTACTCAAAGGTAGCAATGTCAGAAACACTCTACTCTACTGCAAACGACAGCTTTGGTCGGTTCAAGTATGAACAGTTTTGTATACTGTATTTCACACTATAGTCACATAAGATTGTTAGTTGATAATACTTTAAACAATAAAATTACGTGTAAATTATTGAGTCAGTGTCTGATAAATTACATTTCCAGACAGCCAGTAGCTTACATACAGCAGTGTTATATCTGTGTGATCAATAATAAAAACCAAAAGTCTGTTTAGTTAGTGTGATTTGATGTGATCTATGACATGTTCACCATTGTCCATGGCATTTCTGGTATTTCATTCGTTATTCAGATTCTTCTTTAAATTTTCATCGTTGTCCATGAGTTTTCCAGGGAAAAAACATTTACAGATAATTTCGTCACAGTTCAATAGTATTCATAAATATTTTCGCAACTGATTACATACCGTACTCGACCTCTATATTTTCGACCCTGGTCCAAATTTCCCACTAATATTCGTCATCCAATATTTTTTTATTTTAATTGTTGTACAAGAGCTTAGTTCTCTGGCATTTCCGCTATATAAGACCTTTCTCTGATGTTTTCGTAGTTGTCTAAGATGTTTTCTCTTATATTTCCGTTGCTCCCTGAAGCAGTAGGACAACCTCACTCACATGGGACGCAGATATAAAGTCCGTCATCTCGTAAACATACAACAGTAAAGTCAGCTGTAAACCACTAGCGTGATCTGGCCTATTATTGCCAGATAATAGGCCTGTGGTTATTTGAATTTATTTTGTAATTTATTTTCTTATAATTCGTTTAAAAAATAAAAAATAAGTGTACAACTGTTTGGGAAAGATTTAAGATATGAATTCAACCCTTCTACTGTCGATTTTAAATTTATAAGTATTTTTAACCTACTAAAAGGCAAGTCGATAAATTATTCCCATTGTGACTAATTAATTACTATTTTAAACCTTAGTTAACAATAAAGCACAATTCAAAAAATTAAAAAAAAAACTGTCAAAACATTTTGTATTTGATTGAGACTGCATGTAGTTGTCTTTGAATACTTTAAGAGTTACTAAAATGTACAAACTGTGTATTAAAAAAAAATCACAATTGACTTTTTAAGACTTGGCGGACGAGGGTTATCAGATAATTTTATTGCCGTTTAAGGTTAAACTAAAGTTATTAGTATTGGTCACTTCAGTAATAACAGCGCACCTTATAAAACTGAAATCTTTAAGTAGCCTTTCTTAAGTACTAAGAAAAACAACATAACAATAGCATTACAACCCCTACTTTTAAAGTACACCGAGCACTAGTGAGGCGTTGCCCGGGCCAAATGTATAAAAGGCTGGGGGAAATGAGGGATTAACCCTTGAAAGGAAATGGACCAGAGACCCACGCACGATTGTAGAGGCAACGTAAACGACGTAAAGGGGAAAGCTTTCCCCTGAGTTACAAAATATACTATTGGGCCGAACCACTGAACCACACACCTCGGAGTCCTAATCCTTAGATTTGTTTAATGTATGTTTTTTTATGTAGACATAATACTCTCATCGGCAGATTGTACTCGCGTACAGTAGAGTCTAGGATGTCTAGGACTGTGATAAAAATTAGTTTGCCTGATTATAGTCAGTATTTCTACACTCAATGTTATCGGGATGAAAATAGCTGGAAGCTACTTGTTTACAGTGATCTGAAGGTCGTGAGTTCAATCCTAAGAAAGGCCAGAATATTTCTGATGGTTCGAAAGTGCACCCAACTATCCTTTCAAACACTAATAGAATATATGCAATAACATGTAGTAGTATACATTTTTCTACTGCCTATACAATGGTACGAATTTCAAGTTACAAAACAGTAATATTTTCTAGTGACATGAAGAGAAGATAGAGAGAAGTGATTCAAGGCAGAATCATTGATTCCGACCAAGAGGTCTCTGGCCGCACCTGCTATGCATATGTAAATACCAGGTTCAACCGATTCCTGCTGAGAACTTTCATAAAATAAAAGTATCGTCAGATAGGTCTGTATCTATAAATCATCAACTAATCAAGCAATTAAAAGGGTAAAATATATTTAGTTCTAAGAACGAAATGAATAATACAATGCGCAAATTAGTCTATACCGAGAATACCCATTGTTTTATCGGTCCCAATGTTAGCTCACTTGTAAATAACCAAAATGTCCACAGTCGAAGTGTTGCTAAAATTCTACTAAAAAAGACCTATATAATATTCTTTTTTGAACACATTTAAAGATTTTACAATGTCCCGAGGGTTTCCAGGGTGTTTATATGCATCGTAGTTCTGGTGTGAGTTTCATGGATTTAAATCGTCATAGTCACCCAGTCTTCAGACTAACAAAGACAAGTACTACAACTGAGTAGGTTTGAAGTACTGGAGTACTACATGTTAAGCGACATGTTATCAAACAAGGCTTAGTTAACTTAAATAAGTCAAAGGCGGCAGTATAGCTAATTGGTAACATGTAAAAGCGGCTCACACTTCTACCAAAGTTGTCAACACACAGTTTGCTATAGTAATATTACATTAAATACCATAAAGTATTGTAGTAGAAAATAGGTTGTGAGCATGTTATTAATTTAGCTTAGATTTTTAAAGTTTAAAATTCAACCTTCATCAGTATTCGTGAAGTCTTCAAGCTAAAAACGTAGACACAAATTTTAACCCGACTCATAAAGCAGTGATGTTATAATTGAAACACCCTTTACTTGAATAATATTTTATATAGTAAATATTCAACGGGGTGAATCGAAAACACATCGTATAATATTGAGGATAAATAATTGAATGTTAATGTTGTCGCCGGAGGAACGAAGCGATCACATTCTACGGCCGTTTGATAAAGGGAGCTATTTGGGAGAATGTTTTCCTTCTATAAGGATTTGCAGTTTCATCGACTCGCGCTGAGCCTAATCCTGCCTCGTCCTTTTACAACCTCCGGGTCAAGTGAAACTTCCTTCCTCGCTGCGGCTGTTATCAACTACAATATTGTGTTGTATTTACAATTAACGACAAGACCACTACAGTTTGTTTATGTATTAGAAAATTATGATGGCTATGTAACAGCTTATTCAATTTCACTAAGGAGGAAAAATTGTTGTATATTGCAAAAGAGATAGTTTTACAAAAGTATAAGTATAATTTTGCGACTTGTATACAATAAATTCAAAAATAAATTGTTTATCAAAAGTAAAAATTGCGTAAACGAAAAACAGAATTTCACGTGTAAGAAATGGCTTAAGAGGCCAGAGGCTCAAACTTTGTCACAGTTAATGAAACGTTTGGAAATTTAAATAAAAACCCCATCACAACACTCGAAATTTTAACATATCCAAATAGTTTTATCATTTTGTAAGCCTTTACAAACCCTGTAACGATGGGTGGTAGATAATAACCGACCCCCCCCCCCCCCCAATTATAGTGTATATTCCTACGTGGACTAAAATTAAAAATTAGTTTACGATATACTGTTCCATCCCCCCATCCTAACTGAACTACTCGAATTCTAACTGAAGAAGAATTGATGATAATTCCACATTGGTTTGTTTGAGGTGTCAAACTTTCGTTTATAATTTTTCAAATAACCGAAACTTTCCAGGAAAAATCATTCCTTATAGGCGAATCAATCAAGCAGGCTAATAATTTTAATTAGAGAATAAAAGTACCTGCAAGATAGATTTGTCGAAGCTGGCCAACAGACTTAGCCGGGGCGGGGTGTTGCCGGCGGCCGCAGTGGCAGTGGCGGGACTGGCGGGCGTCTGGACCTCGACCGAGCGAACATGACGTGTAGGGCGGCTTACATTGTAGGAGCCTGGAGAAGAAAACACAGATGAACAATCACATACAATTCATATTGTCAAGCTAATTATGCAAACACACTCAGAGTCTTGTCTTTGATCGATAAACACGATGATTATTGTGTATAACAAAGTACGTATCTCTTTAAATATATCCTAGGAAATAAATCACATTGTAGAAGCCTGGAAAAGAAAACACAAATGAGCCATCACATACACTTCATTTTGTCAAACTAACTATGCAAACATACTCAGAGTCTTGTCTTTGGTCGATAAACAGTATGGTTAATGTGTACAACAATGTACGTATCTCTATAAATATATCCTGGAAAATAAATCACATTGTAGGTGCCTGGAAAAGAAAACAAAGATGAGCCATCGCATACACTTCATTTTGTCAAACTAATTATGCAAACATGATGCGAGTCTTGTCCTTGATCGAGAAAAACGATGATTATTGTGTACAACGAAGTTTGATCTCTATAATAATATCCTGAAAAACTTTCAAAAATAAATCGTCGATGGGAAAACACGTAACTGGATATTTGACTAAGTCCTGAAAGCTCCATTTCCTAGCTTGGATCAACAACCCGAAAAATATAACGTAACCCAAAATAGACCGTGGGTCCTTGGGATGTTCAGTGATTTTACAAGTTTTATTTTACAATTGGATTAAACTCGCAGACATAACCGTAAAGTACAGCCTGCATGTAACATCCAACATCGAAAAATATGTAAGAATATGAAGACGTTCTACAGTTATTTGATCAAGGAAACTTAAACTACTTTGTACAGTGGTTTCTAGATAACGAATGTTACAGAAAATGTTAACAGACGATCAATGCATTTTTTTTTGTTAAACAAACATAATTTCTCTTCATGTTATTCATAAGAAAGTCGCCCACGGTGTATTTGTTGCCCACCGTAGAAGAACCAACCTTTCTGCGGATAAGAGTGTTTTGTTTATGATTAATTATGAACGTGTTGGAAACGTATTTGGAATGGGATAAATACCATCAACCATTTGACGCATCAACAGAATTACTGTTGACATGAATAAAACATCGGTGTTCAAAATTAACTAAACATGCTTACAAATTTTCAATTTACATGAATTTAAAATGCATGTAGAGAGAAGAATTATTTTAAACTACTACATTACTCAAAAGTTTTCAAAGCTTTACATACCGTAAAAGCCTTAAGTACCGTTAAAGCCTAAATGAGACAGAGCCGTTTGATACTGAAGTTTTCAACAACAAAACAATCTGAAACCTATTTTTAAATGGTGTAGACTGATATTACAAGTCTATTATTTTTAAAGAGGAAACGTTGGCAAAAAATAATATGCAATCACTGTTTTGTATAATAACTCAAAATACAATTTATGAACAGAATAAATTTTTTACATTCTTAATATTGACTAGTGAATACACAATAGTACACAAAGTACATATTTAAACAGTGTAAAAGTTTCGTTAACCGTACTTTATAAAGCGTAAATGAGAAAGGATCGTTTAAAATTGAAATTCGCCTCATAAAATTAAGTAGCGTTAAATTCCCTTGGTAACATAAAGCCGACAGTAACTAGCCGCTGTGTCCCTACTGGCTGTTCTCGCTAATGGAATTGTTCCATTTAGAGTGTGATTCATGAAATATTTACACTCCATAGCGAGACACAGAGTTGTTGTGGCAGAGTGGTCTTATTCGTACTCAGAACAGTGTCTTAAGGATACGGAAATAATTATCTGTATATTAAATAGGCAAACAAACCTTTTTTCTCAGCTCGTGTACATCGCAGGGAAAATCTACGCATACTGTTAGAAAAATATTTTCCTGTAGATGTGCAGAATCCATTTATAAATTAAAATAGGCTCCAAAATAAACAAAAAAATAAATGTAAAATAAAACAAAATAACATGGGCCTTACGGGTAGCCATGCTAGTGACTAAATAACAACGAAATAAAACGGAAAATCAAAACAAATGGATGAAATTCCAATCCCATGTTTTATTTTCATCGTGAGGTGAAAATAAAGAAGTCCGTAGATTACATATTTTTGTTCGATTTTACGTCTACTGGACGACCTCTAGTTTACATTGTTTTAGGACGTATGAAAATATAACTTTAATGTATAACAAATTATGTTACGAACTTTGATTTAGACGACATTGGAAATGTAAAACAAATTCCCAACAAGATTATTAGTGAAAATGACATTTTAATAAACTTGAATTTTGTTGTGGTAGGGAAATGTAATGGCGAATGCTATTAGTTATGTAGTTAATAATCAGATACATCACGGCCATCGTCCAGATATTTCAACCACAGTTGTTTCATAAGTAAATATTTTATTGTTACATCGACATCGCAACAATTTGAAGTAATCTTAACCGTGTCCCTAGCTATGATAGAGTTTAAAAAATGTGATTTCAAAATATGTAAATAATTTACAGATGTAATAGTACAAGGGCTAACTTGTAATCATACAACATATAATACAAATCAAGAACTTGATAGCCAATATTCTATTTTGAATACTATAAAATCTACACTACGCCTCGAAACACCTAGGAGAATCTCGAGAAGTGATTGAACGTTTGAAATACGCAAAGTCAACACCAATCTCGAACCTCGTTCTATATCTGCCTCAAAAGGGGGTGGCCTTATATCCATACCATCTTCCTTCCAGACTAAGCCTCAAGTCACAAATAAATGTTTTCGAATTTAGAATATACAAAAGAGTGTTTTAATGCGCTGTACCGTTATTCAATTTTATTTTTGTTGCACATATTACTCTATTTTTAATTTTAAAAAACATTTAGGAATTCAGAGACACACTTTTGCCTTCTTAAGTTGTTAATTGCATATTTATTCGACAAAATACACAATTAATTATTGACCACCATATTATTGAACAATTTATTGAATACTAAAAATGGCCTTAATTACGTAAAATGAGTGGATATAGATATCAATAACCAAGAGTGCATATGAAATAAATATTTCAAAAATTTACCTTCAAGATACCGGTACTAAAAAAATATTAATACGTTCTTTTATTTAATTTAGTACTTAACCCTCAGATTATGAGGTGTCTCATAGTTATACACTTAACGTAGTGATGTATCCTTGCCAATTACTTCGATCCATAGAAAGCCTTATTATATTGACAACGATGTATATAAATAAGTACACAATACACATAACCGTCTTGGCAGCCAAATGGTTATGAAGCTCGCCCTCAAATCTAAAGGTCTCTGGTTGGATTTCAAGCGAGATCGTTTCTAGACCCAGATGCCATTTGTCATTGTGCTATAAATTAATAATGCCATCAAACAAAAAGGTCGACGTTAGCTAACAAGACTAGGGCTTGGACCCTTCCAAAACGTTAGAAAATTCCATTGGCGTAGATAAATAAATAAATAAACTCTTGCAACCAACTTTAATATCCAAATCCACTTAATGCTGGTAGGAGCAAACCCCTCCTCCTGTTATCAGGACGCAGCCACCAAGGATGTGTCCCGGCATGACGTGGCAGGATCCCTGTAAGCCACCGACGACGTCGTCGCTCCTCTAATCCTTATAATTTATTTCACAAGACGTCCACGATATCCTCCGTGGTAATTTATTCATCAAAGACGTTAGGCACGATCTAAACGGTTTTAATAAAGATATACAAAATAATAACCGAGTTGTTTTTTTCCCAGTTTGTGTCTAATTTCCTTTTTCCTAACGTTAAATCTGTAACAATTAGTAAAACTAAGGTCCTCTCTTAACTATATAATTTCAATATTAACATTATTGGCTGAGGAAGTTAATTAAAATACAGTCAAAGAATGAAAACAATACTGTTATCCGAGGACAATATTCAAGTTAGGTGAAATACAATTTGTTCAGGTAATGTTTAAGGATCAAGCCTTCCCTACAGGATACGTACATTATATAGTACAAATCATAAATATGTTTTATGCTCTTCTAGTTGTTTTTATTTTCGAGGACAATTACATCGAAATATACAGTAATAAGTCATTTACCATCCGAACAATTTTTATTAGATCTATCACGTTATAATATTGCTATGAAAGCAATAAAATTAAAGTATTTGAAAACATTACTATGATAGAAACGCTTGTGTATTTACCAAAACTGTACACCAATCATAATTAATGAGAGGAGGAAGTAGTGGAGAACTACCGGTTTAACAGCACTTGGGGCGTTTTTTCCCATAAGAATAACATGGGGATCATTTTTTGGCCACCAAAACCAAAAATCCTGATCTTTGCCTAAATATCCCTATATAATTGTCAAACCTTATTTCTTACTTATTCCCTATAAATATATTCGATATTAAGCTAAAAAAGCTATTTCTTACATTTATTTACCCTTACAAGTGTACATTTAGAGTAGATACAATAGGACAATATGACACCACTTTAGGCACGTTTTCCCCATAAGAATAACATGGTGAGCTTTTTTTGACCACTTTTTTAAAAATCCAGCTCTCGGCCTATACAAGCCTATATAAATGTTCAATACCATTGTACAACACTATTAAAATTTCAAATCCATATCCATTCACATGTATATTCTCAAAATCATCAACTTGACAGTGCGAGGTTTGTACGCGAACTCGGGCGCGCTCCCGGCTTATGACGTGCTCCCTTGGACATCCTTAGTGGAAATCCATGAGTTCTGGCTACTTGGGAACCCAAGCCATTTGACATATAATAAATCACCTTTTTTCCTAATTATCTTCTCTACCAAATACATGTCCTTATACTTGGTCTTTAACAACTCCTCTGTATAGAAGCCTCCCCTGATTATATTGCCATTTTCATCTTTCAAGATATAAGTCACAGGCTTTGTATTCTTAACTTCTGCTATTGTAAATAGTTCCCCTGTCCAATTTGGAGTATAACCTTTACTAAAAACATGTTTATACTTGGAAATCCTTACGCTATCACCTACCTTATATCTTGGCTTTTTAACTTGCTCTACTTTAGAAGTCCTTTCA